AACAGCTGAGCCATACGATCTACTTGTTGGTACTCAAGTTCTTATGTGACAATCGACATATTTTCCTAGCTTGAGAGCATGTAACCCCCAGTCTTAATTATTATTGACTGAGTTGAACACACGGCCCGTGGACGAACACTTTGACATGACGGCGGGCTTTTGAGGTTTCTCTGTTTAAACTAAACATTAGATGACGGAGGTGGGCTGGGACGGGCGGGAAATGGAGATATTGCTGCGGTACAATGTTGGGGTGTGGGGAATGGGGGGGGGGCGAATATAGCTGTACAACAGAGTTAGGTTGTGCGGAATATAGGTATATGACAAAGTTAGGCTGAGTGGAATATACCTATATAAAAGGGGAAGTTTGTGTTGAATATAAGGATATAACAGAGTTAGGTTGTGTGGAACATATATATTTCGGTTGGGGGGAGGGAAGGAGGGAAGGCAGAGTTTCCTCAATATTTTAAATTTCTCTGACATGAGTTTAAGTCCCCTTAATGTGTTGTGTTCTGACTTGTAGCAAATTAAAGGGAACGTACTAAGTCTTCGCTTGGAATTCATGAACTGGGTCAAAATCCGAGCGTTAATCCTGTGGTCACCAACCTCGGGTCCTAACCCAATTAAGTTGATAGGGCACCTGCGACTTGGCAGACGTAGAGAGAAGCTCGGCGGGTCCTAGGGCGTGCGCCTCATGACATCGTCAAATCCCGCTGGAATTAACATTTTTGTCTCAAGATTATTCTGGTGTCAAGAAATTAGAACAACTCCTTGTCAGTCATGAGAGTTCGACTCCTAGTCTGGTCATTCATTTTCTGCTCGTCACATTTGTGCACGCGAAGTCTCCCGCGAAGAAAATGCAGAATTTGTCGCGCGTACATCTGCTGGTCATTCAAAGGGATCAGAACCTGGTCAGATCTGGAGCTGGATCTGTCTGTTCGTATGTTTCTGTTTTTCTTATCGAACATAAATCTTTAAAACCAATAAGCCTTGTAAAACCTTTTCAAATGTTTCTAGAGCTTACCAAAATGGTTTAAACCTTTTTTAAAAATCAAATTTTAAATCGTACTAGCATTCAAAAATGTCGTGTCTAATATGAAATAGTCATAACTTTATATTCAAGCATTCACATTATTTGAGAAAGGAGCCTTTTTTAGTAATTATATGATAATAAAAGTGTATGGGTGATGCAGGAGTAAGCGGTGACGTTGTTTTTTTTTAAAGATCCTCATTTACTCCTTGAAAGCGCAACTTGCGGCTCTGGGGCCGATCATTGCCGATCAAAGTATTTGTGTTTAAAGAATGTATGTGTTGATAGCTGATCCCATTATTGGTGTTTAAAGAATGTATGTGTTGATTGCCCATCACAGTACTAGTGTTTAAAGAATGTATGTGTTGATTGCCCATCACAGTACTAGTGATTAAAAAATGTATGTGTTGATTGCCCATCACAGTAATAGTGATTAAAGAATGTATGTTTTGATTGCCGATCACAGTACTAGTGATTAAAGAATGTATGTGTTGATTGCCCATCACAGCACTAGTGATTAAAGAATGTATGTGTTGATTTCCCATCACAGCACTAGTGATTAAAGAATGTATGTGTTGATTGCCCATCACAGCACTAGTGATTAAAGAATGTATGTGTTGATTGCCATCACATTACTAGTGATTAAAGAATATATGTGTTGATTGCTCATCACAGTACTAGTGATTAAAGAATGTATGTGTTGATTGCCGATCACAGCACTAGTGATTAAAAAATGTATGTGTTGATTGCCCATCACAGTATTGGTATTTTAATAACAAAGTGTTTAAGTCTTCGAAAAACCTTTTGAAGGGGCGTAACGCTTATTCTGAAAGTGTAAAGGTAACACTGTTCCAAAGTTTATCTTGCCAACATCGTTAGTTCTAGAGTCTAGACCAGGCCTGCACAACATACAGCCCGCGGGCCGCATGTGGCCCGCCAGTACCCACTTGGCGGCCCGCGAAGTAACGAAATAAATTTTATTATTATTATTTTCTTAATAGCTTTCCTCCCTGTCCTATGATCTTTCGGCCCGCACAAATTTTTCAAAAAAAATATTATGGCCCACCTTACATTTTGAGTTGTGCAGGCCTGGTCTAGACTATACAACGAGACCTTTGAGTTTGTTTCCAGTAGTTTTTCTGATACGTTTCACCTATTCCACAATTTCCTCACAATAAATACATCCAATACCTTATGGGTTTTTTTTATGGTTTGTTTGGTGTTTTTTTATGGTGACTCGACTCTTCATAACTTTAGAACCGCTAGACTTGGTGTTAATGCGTCTTGTAGAATTTAAGATACAACAACACGTGAATCAAACAACTCTAAACAATCACTACAGATGCGTCCATGGGAAAAGAAGGTGAAGGGGACGTGTTTTTTTTCAAAAGAAAGTTCTATTACTGGAACAATAACCTTCTAGCACCGCTTTCGCAACTTTGACACAGTGCCGGCTCACAGTACCTGCAACTCGGGCAGTAGCCGGGGGCGCCATGTGCTTGGGGTGCCATCAACGATCTTCCAATATAGGCAAAAAGCAGTGCGTGTGGGTGCCATGGAAAGAAAATAGAAAGTGCAATAAAAATAGTTGCTGATCTAAAGGCTTGGGGGGGGGATGGTTGTCTAATCTTGTTACTGTCCACGGTAAACTAATTGTTCATACTGTCCACGGTAAACTAATTGTTCATACTGTCCACGGTAAACTAATTGTTCATACTGTCCACGGTAAACTAATTGTTCATACTGTCCACGGTAAACTAATTGTTCATACTGTCCACGGTAAACTAATTGTTCATACTGTCCACCGTAAACTAATTGTTCATACTGTCCACGGTAAACTAATTGTTCATACTGTCCAAGGTAAACTAATTGTTCATACTGTCCACGGTAAACTAATTGTTCATACTGTCCACGGTAAACTAATTGTTCATACTGTCCATGATAAACTAATTGTTCATACTGTCCACGGTAAACTAATTGTTCATACTGTCCATGGTAAACTAATTGTTCATACTGTCCACGGTAAACTAATTGTTCATACTGTCCACGGTAAACTAATTGTTCATACTGTCCACGGTAAACTAATTGTTCATACTGTCCATGGTAAACTAATTGTTCATACTGTCCACGGTAAACTAATTGTTCATACTGTCCATGGTAAACTAATTGTTCATACTGTCCACGGTAAACTAATTGTTCATACTGTCCATGATAAACTAATTGTTCATACTGTCCACGGTAAACTAATTGTTCATACTGTCCATGATAAACTAATTGTTCATACTGTCCACGGTAAACTAATTGTTCATAATGTCCATGATAAACTAATTGTTCATACTGTCCACGGTAAACTAATTGTTCATACTGTCCATGATAAACTAATTGTTCATACTGTCCACGGTAAACTAATTGTTCATACTGTCCACGGTAAACTAATTGTTCATACTGTCCATGATAAACTAATTGTTCATACTGTCCATGATAAACTAATTGTTCATATTGTCCATGATAAACTAATTGTTCATACTGTACATGATAAACTAATTGTTCATACTGTCCATGATAAACTAATTGTTCATACTGTCCATGATAAACTAATTGTTCATACTGTCCATGATAAACTAATTGTTCATACTGTCCATGATAAACTAATTGTTCATATTGTCCAAATACACGTTAAGAAAAACAATATCATCGTTTAATAAACTCATTACCTAACTCCTAGGTTTTGTTCCTTGCAAAAAGTTTGTAGGATTATACTCAAAGGGGGCGCAAAACTTGAGCTGGCCCGGGCGCCAGCAACCACAGGGCGGGTCCCTGCTTTGACAAACGCTTAAATACATAAGATTGATAATGTCCTCATTTTTAAAATATTGCCCACATTGTGTGAACATTGCCCTTCAGTTGGAGACATTGCTATGGTTTGAGAATAATAACTACGATTTGAGAATAAAATGCTAGTTTGAAAATCATAGGCGTATCGCATGATGGCTAAGGCGGTAAGGCATCTTGTCCTGTCACAGACTACATAACACCTTGTCCTGTCACAGACTACATAACACCTTGTCCTGTCACAGACTACATAGCACATTGCCCTGTATCAGACGTATACAGCACATTGCCCTGTATCAGACGTATACAGCACATTGCCCTGTATCAGACGTATACAGCACATTGCCTTGTCACAAACTGCACTTTCTTCTTTGGGGAAGCTTGTTTCCAACACTGTTGGTTAGCTTTATACTTAAAAATGTGGAAACAAACAATATGAAATAATCAATTATTAATAGTCTGTATTGCTCTATATTACATTTGAAATGGTCATGGTTGGTCTAGCAAGGTGTTAACATTGGTGGCTTTCAATGTACACAGACAACAACGTATAATAGCCACTCTAGTAGAGATAGTTCAAAGTTCAGTTCCCTGGTTTCCAAATGTATCAACAAATATTAAAGACCTGTTGGCCGGTGTGGTGTATTTTTTTTTTAATATCTAAAAAATTTAAACCCAGGTGGAGACAACCTCAGAGACGCCGACATTTTGAAGGATTAGTTCCCTTGACGTCATCCTATTTGCCTGGATTAGTTCCCTTGACGTCACGAGCTGCTCCCTTACGCCGCGGTGTGGTGCCATCTTGAGATCCGTCGCCGCGGCAACCGTTGACAGCAAGGGTGTTGTTCATCGGACAGCTGTGTTTAAATCTCCTTAGACGGGGGGATTAAACCCCAGCGGGCCACGCTGTCCAGTCCCCGGCCATGTTGATGTTTTGGTATCAGTGCGTGGGGTGGCCAAGTGTAACTGAACACGTGGTATATAAATGGCCGGGCCGACCGAGAGCACCAAACCATTACCCGGTCTGACGGCACACCATCACTTCTCTGGTGGCGCTTTCCTTTTTATCATAAGCTTTCGAAATCGATTTCTCTGGTCTATGTTGAGTGTGGCGGGAAAATACTATTTGCAAAAGCCGGACGATTTCGGGTACAGACGATTTCGGGTACAGACCATTTGGGTGGGTTGATGGTGGTTGGAAGATGGAGACGGTAATTGAGGGCCATGTGTGGATCGTCTTGATCGTTTGCGCTCTTATTTTGTTCTACACGTGAGTATTACATGACGTGGAAGGATGTGGCTCAGTTTTGACGTTATAGACATCATTGCAACCGTTCAAACTTTCAAACAGTACAGAGTCGGGAGTACAAATGTTTGGCATCGTTCACGCGATGTAAAAGAACCTTCTCATTCCTATTTCTAGAGAAGACACATTCAGCTAGAATAGAGGAGTTTGCTAAAATCAGCTTTTTTTCTCATTTGATGGGAACTTGAAATAAATTAAAGTTTTGTCTTTATCATTGTTTTTAGTTTAATTTTTTTTTTTTAATCTATTTGATGACATTGTGCAGTGTGTCTGTTTGAAATATTTTTATTACCTGCCACGTGAGAATTTTCTATCTGATGAAATCATTATGATTGGCTAACCACGTTCAAATGAATATGTTTGGCTAAACACGATAAAATGATTATGTTTGGCTTATCACGATAAAATGATTATGTTTGGCTAATCACGATAAAATGATTACGTTTAGCTAACAGCGTTCAAATGATTATTTTCGGCTAAGAATGTTCAAATGATTGCATCAGTTGTCGGAGGAATACTTCGGGGGATATCATTTGAGGCTTAGTTTGTATACAAGGCTTATTTTCTATTTAAGGCTTATTAGTGTCTATATTGTCTAGTAATTGCCTTGCAAGTCTTTGAGACTAAATTCTTATATCTATTCATTGCCTTGTAAGTCTTTGAAACTGTATTCTTATATCTATATCAAATAACAGCCTTGTATGTCTATGAAGATGTACTTTCATAAACGTGTACTTTCACCATGTATTTATTATTCGCCCTGCAGATACGGCAAATCGCCCCTTTATGTTTGGAAAACGCTTGGAGTACCCGGCCCTGAACCGACAGTTTTCTTCGGCAACATACACCAACTGTTCGACGCGCGTGTCGGCGTCAGGCATTCCGTAAAGCAGTGGCAGAAACAATATGGACGCATCTTCGGAATCTACTTTTTCCGGAAGCCAGTGATAGTCGTCACGGAACCGGAAGCTCTCAAACAGATTTTCGTCAAGGACTTTAACGTCTTTGTGGACAGATTCTTTGTTGGGGATGGCAGACTTCAGCACAGAATCATACAGAGGACGGTCTTCTTTTCCCAGGGCGCCACGTGGCGACGCCTGCGAAAAATGATGACGCCATCTTTCAGCAGCGGCAAGCTCAAAAGTTTGTCTCCTTACATCAACCGCACGGCGCATTCGCTGAGCGACCACGCGGTCACGTACGCGAAGCAAGGCAAACATCTGGACGCCAAAGTCGTTTTTGGCGCCTACGCTCTCGACGTGATAGCCGGGACGGCCTTCGGCCTTGACCTCGACTCCCAAAGTGACCACGCCGCTCCGTTCATTCGGCACGCCAAGAGTCTCATGACCATTGACAAAGTGGTTCAGCTCAAGCTCACCTTAGTCGGGATGTTCCCTGCCGTCATCCCTTTATTCCGAGCCCTGAAGATTGGCTACTTCAAACGCCGCGACATCAAGTTCTTCAGTGACAACCTGCAAGCTCTGATCGCTGAGCGAATCACGTCGGGGAAGAGCAACGCTGATTTCCTGCAGCTCCTCATGGAGGCCGAGTTTGACAGCTCGGACCCTGATTCTGCCGACAAGAAACTGACCAGCGAAGAGGTCGCCGCCCAGTGTCTGTTTTTCATGATCGCCGGCTACGACACGACGTCCACGACGCTGCAGTACTTATTCTACGAGCTGGTGAGACACCAGGATGTGCAAGGAAAGATCGTCGCCGAGATCTTATCCGTCGTCGGCGCAAGCGGAGAACCTTCGTACGACCACTGCCAGAAGCTGAAATACCTCGAAGCCGCCATTGAAGAAACTTTGCGGATGTATCCCCCCCTTCACATCCTCACGAGGAAGACCACGAGGGACACCACCCTGAATGGAGTCTTCATTCCCGCCAACAGCGGCGTTCTGATCCCAGCCTACAACATCGGCCGTGATCCAGAGTTCTTCCGCGACCCCGACACCTTCGTTCCTGAGCGATTCTTGGACGCAGACAAGCACGACGTGAACCCGGTCACGTTCTTGCCATTCGGCTACGGATCGCGTCAGTGCATCGGCATGAGACTGGCCCTGATGCAGCTCAAACTCGCCGCCGTGCATGTCCTTAGAAGACTTAAGGTTGTGAGTGCCACGCCGGAAGTGCTGGAGATTGAAGACTTCTCGGGGACGCTCGTGCCAAAGACTCCAATCCAGCTTTTCATGGAAGTGAGATCCGTCTGAAACTATCGAAAACTGTTGTTGAAAATACGAATTTTTCAGTTGTTATTAATTTGGTATTCCAAAATAAACCACTCGAAACCCCAAGTGAACAACGTAAACCTCTAATTGACCTACTTGAATCTCCGACTGACCTATTTAAACCTCTAACTAACCCACCTTAACTCGTAAGTGATGCACTTAAACCCCTAATTGATTCTCCTGAGACCTCAAAACCCCTTTTTTTAAATCAGATTTTGACAAGTTTAATTTACGAAACTGACAGTTAACTCATTTTTTTTTTATATGACCCACTTAACTTTTATTTGTTAACATCTCATTTCTTCGAGTTATTTGAGAATATATTCATTTCTATTTAAGCATATTACTTTATTTACATAGTCTTTGGTTAATTTCGTTGAAAATAATTAATGTGATAAGTAAGCTAGACAGTAAGTTATTTGTGTTTGTTGTATATCAGACACACGGTAAGTTATGAGTTTGTTGTATGTCTGGCACACAGTTAGTCATGTGTTTGTTGCATATCTGGCACGCTTTATAAGTTATATGTTGTTGTTTTTTTATGTCAGACAGACAGGAGCTTATATGTGTTATTGCATGTCTGACAAATGGAAAATTACACATGACTGTTGTATGTCTGGCACACATAATACCACTAATGTTAACTGTTTAAATTGTGGATACTGCATTCCAGTAATTGATAATTAATATCATTTAACATGATGACGTCAATGCAAATTCAAGTTGAATTGACATCTTGAAATACTGAGGTCATTTCATGTCAACTTTAGCTGACCTCTTGAAATGCTGACGTCATTTCATGTCAACTTTAAATGACCTCTTGAAATACTTACATCATTTCATGTCAACTTTAACTGAAATCTTGAAACACTGATGTCGTTGACCTCTTGAAATACTGACGTCATAGTTTTAAGTTGATGGACGAAGCTTCAGTCGGTTTCCAATAACTGTTGTTAGTGACGTAACTACAGGCCCTGGGAGGACCATGTGCTTCGTGGAGATATTGGCATAATTTCTGACGTTGTCCCCGGTGAGTTCTGTCTCTTGAATAGTGTGGTCACGTGGTCTCCAAGACAGGGAAATAAAATTAATTCTTCGTGGTGTCCATTTAGCATCGTCTAACTATATTCATAACAACAACAAAAATGGTTTTTGATGGAACAGTTTGATTCATTTATCCAGATATTTTATGTACATAAAATGTTACCAATTTCATGTCAGGATCTTGGTCCAGCAATCATGTGTACATTTCATACAGCACAGTCCATAATGAGACCGATGCTAAGAAATGTGTATACATATTAACAAGGGTCATGCCAACCAAGAAAGACTAACGCGTCTCCGTGGAAAGATTCCAAACGTCATTATAAAATTAGTGACCGTGGAATTCATGGATAAACCCTTGTTTGAAGCCGTGGTTAATGTTGCTTGTTGTGTCACTGAACGGTAATAAAGATCTGAGATTACAACGATGTCAGCTTGTTCTTAACTCGATGCTGTTGTGTCAGTGTGACCAGTCATTTAAATGAAAGGACCGATTGTGTCATTATGACCAATAATTTAACTGGAAGCCCACCAAGAGGACCAACTGTGTTAAAATAACCATTTGTGTCATTATGACTAATCATGTAACTAAATGGAACAGTTGTATCCGTATGACTAAACATTTAACCAAATGGACCAAATGTGTCCGTAGACCAATCATTAAACTAAAAGGACCAATTGTGTCATGGTTAATCATTGAACGAAATGGACCAATATTGTTCACATGACCTATCATTTAACTAAAAGTACCAATTGTTTTAAAATGACCATTCATTTAACTGTAAGGACCAATTGTGTCAACATGACCAGTCATTTAACTGTAAGGACCAATTGTGTCAACATGACCAGTCATTTAACTGTAAGGTCCAATTGTGTCAACAAGACCAGTCATTTAACTGTAAGGACCAATTGTGTCAACATGACCATTCATTTAGCAGTTAAGGACCAATTGTGTCAACATGACCATTCATTTAACTAAGGACCAATTGTGTCAACATGACCCGTCATTTAACTGTAAGGGACCAATTGTATCAACATGACCATTCATTTAACTGTAAGGACCAATTGTGTCAACATGACCATTCATTTAACTGCAAAGGACCAATTGCGTCCAACTAAAAGAATGATTCGTGCCCCTATGACCAGGTCTTTATAATACGAGGATGAAAATTGCACACATGGCGGTCAATTTACTTTTAGGACCAGCCATGTCCACGTCATCAAATCGTTTAGTTGGTAGTGATGATAATCATAATTATATTATGCTATGACAGTGTATTGGTTGTGCCTTTAGATACAAGTTAGTATACATTAGTCAAAATTAGTCTACATTCGTCCTTACCCATCTATGTACGCTCATCACCCGAGAAACACTTTTGGAGCAGTAATAAAAAGAAGTACAGCCAAGTTGAATAAGTTTATTGATTAAAACTGTAGGTATATATTTAACAAGGTAATAAAACAACAAAGCCAAAACAACGTTCCTCTGCATCAGCCGACACCCGCCTTCATTCAAAGAGACCAACGACTACCGCATGCTCCAATGGTTGTCTTCTCAACAGTTCAGGCTTGTTAGCCGAGAGGTCAGATCGGCTTGATTTGGATTTTTGTAGAAATCTGTATCCTCAGTTCCTTGAATAGATTGCTAATAGTTTGCGGGTGGAACACTTAGTCAAATGAACACAAAGGAAACATTTGGATGTTCAGCTTTGAATAGAGGCAAGTAGAAACAAAGACCAATTTCAAACTTTAGTGAGTGGTAAATACATTGTAATAACCTTGATAAAACCCAGAGTTTATAAAAAAAACAGAAAAAAAAAAAAAAAAAGATGACAAAAATAGATTTCATTTGGAATTCCATGGCGTAAAGCCAGGAGGAAGTAACCCTGTGGCTATAGCCTGATGGTGAGACGGCTCACTTACACTGACTGAAGGGAAAAATAAATGGGAAGGAATTCAATGGAAAAGGGTATGAAGAGTTTCTTTTGATCCTCAAAATCAGAAAATTTACCGGTATATTCTGAAGATGAGGCCATGTTAAGCAGGGTAGCATGCTTACAGGGTATCACCCTTACAGGGTAGCACGCTTAAAGGGTATCACCCTTACAGGGTAGCACGCTTAGGGAGGGTAGCACGCTTACAGGGTAGCACGCTTACAGGGTAGCACGCTTACAGGGTATCACCCTTACAGGGTAGCACGCTTAGGGAGGGTAGCACGCTTACAGGGTAGCACGCTTACAGGGTGTCACGACTACAGGGTATCACGCTTACAGGGTAAGTGTTGACTGGCATACAATAAAGAACAAATCAACATTGATTTTTAATATGTTAAATTATTGCAATTAAGACTCAAATGACTGGAAAATATTTAACAAAACAGCATTAAAAATTCCAGATGTAAGAATGAGGCTAAGAAAAATATCTATCATAAGAACACCACACCAATGACAAAGAAATGTATCTATTGATGGGCATTGTAGACCAAACATTCCTGTATTGATGGGCATTGTAGACCAAACATTCCTGTATTGATGGGCATTGTAGACCAAACATTCCTGTATTGATGGGCATTGTAGACCAAACATTCCTGTATTGATGGGCATTGTAGACCAAACATTCCTGTATTGATGGGCATTGTAGACCAAACATTCCTGTATTATGGGCATTGTAGACCAAACATTCCTGTATTGATGGGCATTGTAGACCAAACATTCCTGTATTGATGGCCATTGTAGACCAGAGTCTACAAACAAGCAAACACAATGAAATATAAGGTTAAAAACTCCAAGAGGTCAAAAAAAAATTCAGTTCAGTGATGGACAAGGGCAGCAAGGGACCAGGTACAAGGGTTACTTGCCAGGTTCCAGGGTGGGGAGAGAGGGGAGTCAAGTGGCCAGGTGCAAGCATACAGACATATTGATGATGATAAAAATTGCATAACATCCCAGAATATAGGAAATATTAATTATCAATTTTTTTCAAATTTTCAACAACAAAAAATATTTCTTTTTAACAAAACCTGCCTAACATTTAAGTTAAGTAAATCACATGTGTCCCACTCATATGTCCGTTACAACTCAAGCCCTCTGAAGAGAGGTCATAAGGCCATTTGGCCCTGGCCTGTCATACATACACAAATATGTTCTTATGTATCCTGGTCATGGTTGAAAGGCAGGGATCCACTTCAGTTTTGTTTCATTTTTATGTTTATAAATGGTATTCATAAATTCACAGGTTACTTCGTATGCATAAATATTTTGTCCTTGACGGGCACCCATGTTAGGGGGGGGGGGGGGGGGGGATTAAGACAAGGGGGACTCAAAAAGTCAAGTGGCAGTGATACTACTGCATGAAAAGTGGATGATTGATTGCACACCGCAGACGTCAACCATTTTTGTTTCTTTTTATTTTTTTTTTAATGTCTATTGTTTGTGAGCCATTGTTCGTTGGCTTGAAAGTTGACTGAATTAATATTTATTTAATTTTTTTTTTAATAAAAAAAAGGATATTTTGACAATATTTTCATCCGGTTATTTTATTCAATTCAAAATCAATTTTTATTTTAAAAATATGATGGCAAACAACACTATTGAACACCAGTAAGAAATAGAAAAATATCTAAATGACTATCAAAACAATCCAATTATCCATAGAAATTGGAATGCTGGAAATGGAAAATTTAAACTTGAATATTTGAAAGCATTGAAGAAAATTTTAGGTTCAGAATACATGGTTGGTCTACAAGGAGAAAAATGTTGGGTTCAGAAATAATGTAGACAATGCAGAGAGATATAAATTGAAATGCCAGATGTTAGATAAAATCGTTTAACAGTTTGCAATATGACTCCATCAAATTATTTGTGATTAATGTTTATTAATTGTAACACAACAGGCCTGCAGCCCCACCCCCCATCACCGCCCCCAACCTCCCTCAGCCTCCCAAATCAATAATAGCAGGTTTAAAAAATTCCTGACGTCATTAAAAAAAACACATCGACTCCATTGGTGAACTACAGATTCTAACAACAATTGAATACTGTGAGGTGACTTTGGTCTCAGTGAGACAACTCATTTCATCCTTTTCCCTTTATATCTTTATGTATAGTTGATAACATTTGATACATCCTTGGGCTTTGAGTAATGTTTATCTTCTATTTAATATAGGCCCACCCAACCTTTTTCAGGCCCCTGAACTACAGATAAAAATTATTATATTAATTTAGTTCTAATAATAATACTAATACATGTTAACATTACTTATACTTGCATAAAAACAGTTATATTTTATCAAATCTACATTGATCTGATTTCTGAAAAATAATAGAAAATCACCCTCACTGCTTTTAAGAATCCCAGCATAATGCATATACACCAGCTCATTCTAATATATATATAATTATATCCCATGGTCTTCATAGCCTAACCTCACTGTATCCAGATTTTACCATTAAGTTATATGCACATCTGCTAAAACTTTAATCCTGGTGCCAGAAATATTTGATTTAATACCGAGCACAAAGCCGTTGCCAAATATTTCTACCTTTTATAAGTTAAAATCTGAGATATTTTATTCAACATCACTCGGACCTGTTTCACTGTGTGAATGTGTTGATGCCTGCTTCACTCACACACCCATCCTGCCCTCATTTAATTCATGAGAAAAACATTGAAAGCGTACAAACAGAATTCAACACATATTTGCTTCATTTTAACATTGCATAATAAGTCATAGAAAATCTTGATAAATATGAATAGTTTTCTTAAACATTAGCAAGAAGTTAATTTTTTTTTTTTATTATAATAAATCATTTAGCAATCTACAGCTGTGCTGAACAATAGTTTTGGCCTGCTTCAGTAGCCAGCCATACAGCCATACTTTAAAAAAATATTCTTAAAAGATTGATGGAGGAAAAGTTAATAGCTAAAGATTGGAATCATCACAAGAGTTAGACAGTACCAAATGTCACATGACTAAAAAAAACTGGAAACAAGCCAAGGGAGATGACCAGCTAGAAAGCTTGGTTTTACTCTACACTTGAATTTGTTAATCTAATTTAATTATGTTAGAAAATGATGACACTGACATGACTGATGTTAGGAAACAGAGACATTGATAAGATAGAAAAGAGTAAAGATAAATGCAGTGGAATTTTTTTTTAAGTCTTAAGTTTTTTCATGATGACATTATTTGTCTCAGACTCCTTGAAATATTTAATGAGTGGTTTCCATTCTACCTTGAAGACGTGCCTTGAACTTGGTCATGCTCTATGTTAATTTGAAGACATTTAACGATGATTGTTCAAGGCAGTTAGCAATCAGCAATTATGGAGCACACAAAATTTATTTATTTTATAAAACTCACAAGAATGTATTTCACCAATGCAGTTGCCCCAGTCAAATAATAAGGTTTTACATCATAATAGAAGTCCACATGCTGCAAACAATTTTACATGTTATAATTGGTGATGGGAAAATTTCTCCCAATGGTTGTAGCTAACAAAGGTGACCCAAGACATGTAGATTAACTAAAGACTGGTCAGAGGGAGGCGAACCCTTTACTGTGACTTCTGCTCCAGTTCTGATGTGACATGTTTGTGTGGATGCTTGCAGACAAACACGGGCACGTGTGAGTGGTGCACAAGGTAGTCGCTCACCGAGCCCACAAATGTGCGGCGGATGGTGCCCATGCCACGACTGCCCACCACAATCAGAGATGCTTTCTCCTCTTCTGCGGCTTTAATAATTCCTTCGCCTGGCCTGGACGCCATGACACTTTTCACTTTACCACCCAGCTGCAAACAAGAAAAACCCAACAGTCATTAAATAAGTCAAAATGTTTTATTAGTTATTTACATTTTTTGGCATTGGTCAAATAGTCTGAGGCTTTCCAACCATCAGTAAATTTATAGGCTGCGGCTATTCAGACCCGGGTCCAAGAAATTAGAGTTTGGGTTATTTAAAAAATATTTAAAAATTATGTAGGGTTTGTAAGACAAAATTTGGAAACAAATGACAGATAACTGAATGGACTATATGTTTGTAAATTTTTGTAAGTTTAACTGCTATTTGGATGTCATTTGTGGTATTTTATTTTAGTTAAACTGAAGAATTAAGTTTACAAACATATAGTACATTCAATTATCTTTCATTTGATAAAAAATTTTGTCTTACAACCTAACAATAATAATTTTTTTTTAAATTTTAATCCCAACCTCTAGCTTCTCGGATCCAGGTCCGAATAGCCACTTCGAAGTTTATAACTTGTCTGTAAAAGCTTGTAATAACTTTATGACTATAAAAAAACAGTGAAATATTGTAAAAAAAAAAAATCTTTTAAAGTTAAAACTTTAAAAAAAACATGAAATTTTAACGTCTGTGATATTTCTGCTTTCATGAGTTAAAGTGATGTGTTTATAAGCAACAAAAATTTAACACTAATGATAATGCCATACCATAAATTAATGTTTTAAAATTGGGTTCATGTCTCATGTATAAGTAATCTTTAATATACAAGAATTATTTTTATAAATTATTAAATAAATTTAATATAATTTTTTTTTCTTTGTATTTGGATGGGCATATATTAGAGCCGGGTTTGCAAACCGCAACCCACCAAGAAGTTTAATTTTTTTGTGTGGCCCGCAAGACATTCTAGGAACAGGATTAATGTTTTTAAAAAATATAACATTTTCAAATGATTTTCTTTAGAAACCTTGAAAATTAATAATTGCAATGCAAAATTGTCAACCTGTAAAAATAATAATTACAGGAAATGTAAAAATAATACACTGATTATTTGCGACCTGAACTGGGAGTGATTTGTCAAAGCCCATCTTCAAAAATTATATTGAATTATACCTAGAATTCTCTGAAAAAATCTGGCCCAGTCATTAAGTCTGATTTGAATGAAGTATTTGAATGTAACTTCTAAAAACGGTAGCTCAGTATTTCTAAGCTCTCTTCCACAGTAAACATCAGTGATATCCCTCTCTGTATCCCAATGATGGCCGCCTCAACAGCAGGGATATTACTCTCTGTGTTGAAATAATTGCAGCCTCAATGGCAGCCTAAACAGCAGGGATATCACTTTCTGTGTCGAAATAATGGCAGCCTTTATGGCTCAGAAAGCGTACTGTAAATTTTTAAAGTTTATTAGTTTTGTTATTTGAATTATTTACTCTTAATAAAATAATTAAAGATATTAATAATATGAAGGTAACAGTTGAAATAAAAATGAGTGCGCCAAATTGAAAAAATAAAAACTTGAAGACGTGAATCCGACCTTCAACAACGAATGGACATCTTATTATACACTAAAATGTATCCCTGCATTTTGAATGTAGCCCCCTCTCTTTTTTAAGCCCGTGAGACAGAGAGAGAGACAGACAGAGAGAGAGACAGAGAGAGAGACAGAGAGAGAGAGACAGAGATTAAATCAGAACCGTCTAGTAAAGAAATTTCTGGAAAATGTGTCACTTGATAGCATTCTTAAGAAAATAATAGAACATATTCGAGTAGAAAATATAGGCAGTCATGGCATCCCACCAGTTTGCCCAAACCAATTCTTAAAATTACAAAAGCTTAGGTTGTTAAGTTATTTGAAAATTTAAATTAAAAATATGTAGAATATTTTCCCAAAAAATAATTTCCTTCATAGAGCAAGTTCCTTAGAATTTGGGATGTTACCATTGTATACAAGGTCTAGTCTTATAGATATGTGACACTTCATAGCTTTAACAAGTTTATATTAAAAACCTGTTCATACAAAAGTTATGTATATCTGTAAAAATTATGGAGATAAGAATGTTAAGCAGCAAATTTTACATTAATAAGTTGGTAACCCAATAGTAGAATAGTATTCTATATCTACATCACCATAATAGACTTTTAAGTTGATATGGAGGAGGTGTGTCTACCCTGATTAGACAACAAAGCTAGATGACAAAATTAAAGACCAGCAGAAACACTGTCCTTCAATTGCCAACTGCGCATGTGTAGATATAATACAAGATAAAAGCTTTTCTTCCTCAGCCTTGACTTAGTTTTCACAGACAATGATAATGTAGTGTTGGTGATAGCGAACTGCGATGACTTCTCATGTTATCATCATAACATGTTATCATCATAACATGTTACTAACTTAAGTCATTCTTACTCACACACCTTGACTTGCATGGTCAAATGACTTACCCCATGATGTTTGAGCTTCTCTGCAAACTTTTCCAGGTCAGATTTAATACGCTCTTGTTCTTCTTTCAGCATGGCCTCCATCACATCACGATCAAAGACATAAACAGCTGTTGGAAAAAATTAACACAGTTTCCGTAAATTAAAGATTCGACATGCAAAAATATAAAATATCTGGTAATATAACAATACACACATAATATATGAATAAACACAGTTTCTTGCTGAGACAAGATAACAGAGGGGTGGGGAGACCACCACAGATTATTATTTTTCAGCGACTGTTTATGCAATGGCCATTCAATCCAAACTGCCAACAACATAAGAACTTCAGATGTGTAAACATTCTCTGATCTTTTGATGCTTTATTTCATCAAGTTGTGTTTTTAATTAAGTCTTGCTTTCTTTTGTGATTACCCTGGAGGCTTTATTTTTTCCTACTTATGACAGACCTGCACAACTCAAAATGTAAGGCAGGCCATAATACTTTATGAAAAACTTGTGCGGGCCAAAATAAAATAGGACGGGGGGAAAGCTATTAAGAAAATAATGAGAATAAAGAATATTTCGTTCCTTTGTGGGCAACAAAGTGGGTGCTGGCAGGCTGTGTGTTGTTCAGGCCTGACTTGTGAGGAACTTAGTTTAATTCAGGGAATATTTTAAAACTTTGGGGAGAATACTCGGGCCAATATTGGTGAGAAGCTACTCTACTTAAGGTAACAAATGAGAATTTGATGTATAGGCGTATAAGTGAACTTGTGAGCACAGAACTTACAGTTACTCCACTTGGTAGAGTGCAGCATGTCATTGAGCTCAGGTACGTAGACGAGGATGACATGGTCACCCTCTCGATGGACGTTCTTACAGAACCCTAGAGGGAAGAAAAAACGAGACGTGCCCTCTCTGTTTTATAGGATTTTAGACACAGTTCAAGTCAGATTAACAAACAGAATAAATGTTTTACAAATGCTTACAGTTTATTAATTTTTTTAACTAACAAATAAAATTGAAAATTACTTTTCCCTGCATGTTTTTATCAAAATTGTTTCCAACCAAGCCGTGGTCCACGGAATGGTTTCAGGTAGTCCGAGTTTTATATTCATACATTTTCATTGTTAAATAGCAGTAACTATATTACTGGATATAGGTCAATGGTGGTCCACAACTCAATTGTAATTTGGAATGTGGTCCTTTGGTCTAATAAGCTTGGAAACCACTATTTTGTGACAGAGAAAGTCTATTGTAATACAAGCTACCGGTACTGAAAACGTAACCAAAATAAAATCTCATTTTTTGTAAAATATAAATAAACCAATGTCTCTATATCAGTGGTTCCCAATCTCTCCGACTTGCATAGAACTTTAAGAACAAATTTCTATGGGGGAGCCCCTTATGGCTACCCTATACCTTTCAAGTTAATGGTCGTAATGGGGAGGGAGGCAGCAGGTTGCATGTAGGGAGGGAGGCAATAGAAAGGGAGGGAGCAGATTATAGGGAGGGTTGTGTCAGGTGATAGGGCAGGAGGGTGGACAGGTTACAGGGAGGAAAGGAGATAGGTGATAGAGAGTGAGGTTATAGTGAAACCATGTCAGTGATATGGAGGGAGAAGAGGTGGGTGATAGAGAGGAAGGGGATGCATGTTATAAGGAGGATGGTGTCAGGTGATTTGGGGGGGGGGGGAAGGCAGGTTACAGGGAGAAGGTAGGCAGGTTACAGGGAGAAGGTAGGCAGGTGATAGAGAGGGATTGAGAATTTATAGGGAATATGTTGTTAGGGGATAGGGAGGATGGTGTCAGGTTATGGGGTGATAAGTTATAGTGAGCAATTAATATGAGACTGAGGGAATGCAATAGCTGTAAGCAGTCAAGATATCAGTTTTATTGGTGTTAAGGTTAGAATTGTTTAAATATGCCTGAAAACTTTCAACTTCAAAAATGTGGACATTTCATTGTAAGCAAAACTGCCCCGTAACACTTGATTTGGATTAGGTTCAAAAATCTGTGTCACACAGTGGCCATAGGGTGGACTGTATTACATAGTATCTAGTAGTGGCCATAGGGTGCACTGTGTCATATTGTATCTTGTCACAAGATTGTAGATGTTCCATGTTACTTCGGTCATTTAACTTTTGATATTTCCTATCTTATTTTCTGTGCCAATTCTCTCACTTCTGTTACAGGATAATGAATACTCATGATGATATAAATGAGACTAGATTACGTGTTGAATATTACCTAAACATTCTCAGTGTCACAATGTGGTTGTGGGAAAGCTTATCAGTTTACAAGATATAAAAGTTAAAGCAGTTGATAAGTTTGATACAAATGTGTGATTTTGTTAAAATTTGTGTTAGGCCTGGGAAAACTTATCACAAGATGGAAAAACAATCAAAACAGTCACATGGTGTTAAATTCATATTTGACTAAATGAATAAACCACCCACAGTAATGTATGCACTAGTATATTGACAATGTAATGTCAACTTTATTGTAATAATAACAATGAAATATCTACTTGCTGGAAACAACAACATTAAGTAGACTATATCATTTATACATATTTACACTGGGGACACATGGACGACAAATCTAAATGGAATAGAAAGTTGTCAGTTCCACTGTGCTATACCAAGAACATCAGTCATCAGTGAATTGTGTCATGGGTGCACTGATGTGTTACAATTCACTGATGTGTCACAAGTGAATTCTGGTCTATCAATGAGTCGTGACCTATCCATGAGTTGTGACCCTTGAGTGAGTTTTGACTAGGATGCCACAAATGGCTCAGCACCCAACCCTGCCATCTCAAAAGGCTGGTAATGTATCCAAAAAAAAAAAAAAATGCTGAATAATTTCTCCTGGACAACCTTAATTTTCTCCTTTCTAAAGCAATTTTACCAACACCCACCCACCACCTTGTAATATTTAAACACCCTTTAGGAATGGATCTATTGTTTTCAGGAGAAGGTAATTTGTGCATCTGACTATACTCCAAATGTAACATTTGTCACACCTGTTCAGTAGCCAGCTCCTTAGCAGGATAATTAAGTTATATTAATGTTAACCTAGAGTACCGTATTTTCCGGCGTATAAGACGACTTTTTAACCAATGAAAATCTTTTCAAAAGTCGGGGGTCTTCTTATACGCCGGTGGTCGTCTTATGAGCTGGTGTACAGCCCAAACCCTAGATTTTAAAAGGAAAAGTTGGGGGTCATCTTATACGACGGAAAATACGGTATCTCAGAAATGCCATTTTATCTCAATTGTTAACCTTATACTAAAATGTATTCCTTAATTTAAAAATATTGCCTAAGTTAATCATTACTTGCAACTGATCATGTGGTAGTTCACTAGAATTAGAATTTTTTACATGGATTTAAACAATAATTCTAAATGAATAATTAATCATGTATTATTTCCTTTTAATTTTCATAAACAACAAAAATATAACATTGGTTTTATCAGGACAGAACCATGCCAAATCTTAATTGTGTGGGGCTTGTTAGACTAAAAAAAATCACATGATTAATGTTTTCTAAAAATTATATACAGGATGAAGCCAAAATTTCTTGATGACAACTTTAACTGACACCTGGCCAAAAAAAACTTGAGAACAACTTAGGGCCCTTTCATGCTATGTGTTCTTCATGAGTATCATAAAAAAACTTGTAAAATCATTCAAGGGTCTTATAACTTTTTAAAATTCCCACTAGCCTTGTTTAAACTGGTTTACTGCCGCTTAAGATAAAACCTGTTATCTTCTCGAAGATTTACAGTGTTATCAGCAGATAATCGGACATAAATACCCAACACGGTTTTAAAATAGCCTCAATATTCTAAGCCATAAAATATTCTACAAACAATTTGTTTTTTAAAAATTAGTCAACTTAAGAAAGAAACAAATATACATTTCATTGGTAATACTGTTGGAACATGCTTATTTTTTTATTTAATTATTTTTAAAACTCTATTACATAAGTACTAAATAATAATTGCTGGTCATTGTCCATGAATTCTACTTTATATTGTTTATTGTGTGTATCTTCTGTCTGTATTTAAATATTCTCAGAATTCAATAGTTTGCTCTTGGTTTCCATAATTATGTTTCAATGAAGTGGATAACACAGCTTCAATTTCAATGACAATTTGGGAGACCTGATGTTACTTTCAATCAAAACTACATGAGACCAAGCTGTGATGCAATGTTCTAAGGCTTATTATGTGTGTATGCTCTTTGTGTAAATTTGAACCAGATTGACAGAATTAAGATGGTTAAATGTTAATGCTTAATTATATATTTATATTTCAATTTTCACGTTGATAAAGTCCTTTTTATTAATTTTTTTTAACAAGGCAAGATATCAACCCATGGCAATATTAAGTTTTCATTAAATTGCTATAAGATGCTTCAGCATGGTAACGTTCAATACTTGCTAGTACACTGAATTATTGAAGAAATAGACTTGTAGGTGAAAGCACAAAACATTGATACCAAATCATCTATTTCACCTTGTGGAAATGTCAATAACACTTGTTAGCAACTGGGAGTTTACTGGTATTGTCGCACTCATCAAAGTGATGGGAACTGCAGATTTTGTACAATTTAAATTTTTGTATTAAATAAAAAAATTAATTTTTTTTTGCCTTATACAATCACTTGTTTATAATGCAAGACTAGACAAAACCAAACCATTAAAAGATGTCTAAGGTTGTTTTTTTCTTCCTAGATATATAGTCTAATAACTTTGTTTTATCGTTGGCATATATCACAAGATGAAAAATAATTATCCAGTCCCATTTTGACTGAACTAGATTTGAAAAAATAAGTAAACCACCCAAGGCAATATATGCTGAAATATATTGACAATGTATGTAAATTGCATTGTAATAATAACAAAGTGATTCATACTTCATGAAGTTATCTCAAAATAAAGAATTCTAAAAATATATTTTTTGCTATCATATAATTCAAGGTCAAGGTGTTTTTAATAGGCCTAAGTTTCAATAAGTGTGAGATTATATGAAAACATGTACAAAAGCTATTAAGCCATTGGTCAGGGAAAGCTTTAATTAAATAGTCATGGGCCAAAGTTGAACGTTCAAAATATAACAAAATATTATTTTAGTGATAAGGGGATGCTTTGCCTTATATAAACTATATAGTCATTGCGCAAGACACAATCAGCAGAATGAGTCACAAAATGTGGAGGCTTCGTCCATAGTAGAAAATACCAAACAAACTCGCACTTTAAAAATTCGTAGCTCAAAAAGTACTTAAGTTAAAAAGTTGATTCTGGTTTAATTTTTTTAAATTTGAAATTTGCTCTTAGTAGCTGTAATATTTAAAAATTATTTCAACTCATGTTAATATATTGCCACCATAGTGGTTTTCGTTTATCTGGATCATCAGTTATCTCAAAGCTTTTTGGCAAACCCCAAGGCCGTCAAATTGAATGAATTTTAAAAAAGGAATTCAACAAAATATAATTGATTATTTAGGACTTGTTGTCATCCGAAGACACCATCTTTAGATTTTTTCATTAGTTATTTATTTACAAGTATAAGGCTTAAGTAATCTTGAGTATGAGTTACAAAATAAATATTGTATAAGCTATTGCAATGTTGTTAATTAGCCCTGCCTTAGCTGAGTTCACTGCAAAAATACAGGTCAACTATGCCCTAATAATATTCTCTTCTATTTGTAGTCAAATCAGATTAGACCTAATTGCCTAATCTGATTAATTTATTATAGCTTTAGCCTTAGGCAGGCCTATGTTATCTTACTTAATAACCTAAGACTAAGAATTACAAATATATTTTATTGTAACCTTACTAGTTAATTGCTGTGATAGACCCATATATCATATAATTTGTTATAATTACTAACATAGGCCAGCCTAGGCCAATTAATCACTAGCTCAAAACTTGTCAATGGCTTAATTAAAAGTGGTCTGCTCTATTATACTCTATAACGCCATCAAATTAGCAACAATAAATAATTATGTACCATGACTCATTGCCAAGGTCTAGGCCTAGGACACTAGGAGTATGACAGAAGAGATTATCCTTATAGTTATAGTTTCATATCCCCCCCCCCCAACCCTTTTTCATTGTTCGCCTTTCCCCACCCCTCCCCCAACACTAGGAGTATTACAGAAGAGATTTTCCTTTTAGTTATAGTTTCACATCCCCCCCCCCCCCCAACCCTTTTTCATTGTTCGCCTTTCCCCAACCCTGACCCTACACTCTAATTATTCAGAGTCAGAGCATTTCTTTTTAATTTTATTTATTTGAATTTTGTAAACATTAGGCCTATTACTATTGACAAGAAAATTTTTAGTAGGCACTAATTACTAGAATGACTAGACTAGTCAGTTTAAGGTTAGTTTAGTTTTAGTATCACTTTATTTATTTTAACTAGTCTGTACAGCTGGAACTGTAACTGTAAGTGTAGAACAGTCTATTGTCCACTGTTGAGTTTTGTCACTGTTCAGTGACTGTTTTGTACCAATGATAAGTCAAACTATGACTGTTTCTATATTATTATCATTATTATCTAAATATTGTTTGTAATAATTGAAAATTGTATACGATACGATAGTATGTCAGTATGTAAATAGTAAATAGTTCATAATGTAGCTTTTTCAATTTGTTGAGCTCATATTTTTTTTAAATTTACAATCAACTTACAATCAAGAGCATAGTCAGAATGTTCACTACCATCCACAGCAATTATACAGTTTCTTTTTTCAGTCATTTTGCTTGCTATTGAAAGAATAACAGATCAGAGTCCGATCAGGAGCAAATGCAAAATAGCGTCGTAAAAGCTGAGTGCGTCGTGCCACCGCCTCTTCTACCTGCTGTTAGGTCAACTAAGGGACAGAACTATCATAGCTTTCATAATATGAAGGATATTATGCTATTAGCACGTATGTCGTTTTTACAAAGTAGCCGAGGGCCTAGGGTACAAATTATTGCTTTAATTTGAGGCTACTTGTGCGAAAGTGGCCTAGAGAGTAGCCAAAAATCTAGTAGAGTTGTTTGAAAATAATACAGACAGAAATAATATGAACTGTGGATATTGTTTATCCCACCCTGGCTTCGTTCCAGAAACAGGGCCGTGTCGATGAGAAGCTGCGCCTTGTCTGAAGTGTGAAAATGACGCTCCTCAATAAACACTAGACAGAGAATGTCTTATTTAGATTTGAATAAAGAGCCATTTTAAATATATACAATATTTCGTGATGCTTTGTAAAATAATTAAAGATTGCAAATGTATTTGAGTTAAGAATGTATCTTTAAATCAATAAATAATGGACTATTATTTCTTATTAAATATTAACAATTATTTTTGTAACACTTACAACTATCATGAAATTTCTGGATTTTGGAATATTTTATTATGTAAATTAGAAATGTATTTACTGGATATAAAGTCTTTAAAGTTAAAGAGTAGGGCTTTAAATTACTCCGATATTTTTCTCGATAGCTTTCTAATTATAAGCAATTCCTGATTCAAACAATTTGTTAACTCTGTAATTATGAAAATGAAATGTTAAGCAATCTTTCTTCAAATATTTCCCATAATTATTGGTGGGGGGGGGAGGCCCTCCATAAATGACGTCAGATAAATGTTTTCATTTTCGAAATACGATATTTATTTCTTAGCGAACCGATAGTAGTCAACTGTGGGGAATAGGTAGGCCTATGCTACACACGTAGGCAAGGTCCGAAAATGGACTCTGACTGCCCGATTATGCTAGAGCAGTGGTTCTCAGTTTTCCTAATGCAGCGCTTTATTGAAACGGCGTAGCCAACAAGAAAAAAAAATCAACTTTCAGCTTGCAGTTAATAAAGAAATATTGATTAGGCAAAATAATTTAGTCTACTATTCTTCAAGCAAATGTGTCTGGCTTTTGTGGTAGGCAAAACGCTGATGACGTCTCCATAGTTCTAGTCGACAGGCAAAATCATGTTCAATAGAAAGTATAGCCAAAGATGTGAGCCTTTCGTGATTTTAGAGGGGGAAAAAATGTAAGAACGTTCATTAGGGATTTCCTACATGGCAGAATATTCGCCGCTGAGCCTGTGAGATAGTATTTATTCACATAATTTAAATCCATGAATGTCTGAGATATTAGCCTACCATTTGTTAGGAAAATGTGTAAATTTGTACGCTTTTTGAACATTCCTTACGAGATAATGATTGTATTTATGTTTTGGCTATCTAGGCGCTGAGACGGGCAACGGTGCCACGTGACGTCAGCGATACAAACCAAAACTCCAGTTTGACAGATGATAAATGAAGTATATATGTATTACTAATATAAAAAGTTAATCTGTAACCTTCACTAGTTCCATCTCCAGATGACTACTATCTCTATGTTTCTCTATAACTGGGCTACACTACCCACGTCTCCTACTTATCTTGACTGTCTTAACTCAACTCGGTTATAAACAGGGTTGCCAACTCAATAAAATAACATTTACTGACAAATATAAGAACTCTCAACAAAATTTACGAACAAATACAATTTTTTACGAACACATTTAACATAAAATGTTGACCTTAAAACGATCTGTCTAAACAAGTCCATCTTGCCGCGATGCATCTCGCCGCGCGAGCCTAGCTGTCCAGAAAGCTCTTACAGTTTATTAATAGACTAAAACAATTTAAAAATTAAAATTTAAATCAAGAAAATAGATATCACAAACATGATTTACTGGGTTTTTTTAACGTTGAGATTCCACGTTTTGTCGATTTTTTTTTTTTACGGACGTCTTAATTTGTTAACGGAATTTTACGGACAGGCAATTTTACGACAAATCTTTACGGACTGTCCGTAAATTTACGGACGGTTGGCAACCCTGGTTATAAATCATATCAACTGCCCCATAGTGTCCCCAAACTTCTAGCTTATATGTCTAGCCGTCGTGATACGAAACAACTACCCACAACTCGAATCCCACGGTCATTTGCTTGATTATCATTATCAGTAAGTCTTCCCTGCTATATCCTTTATCTACAATCTACAGTCACCTAGTGACTACCTGATATACCCTTGGTCTGATATATTCCCAGGCCATCTTCACAGCTATATCCTGGCCCCATAGTGACCACCTGATGTACCCTTGGTCAGCTCGATTCCCAGGCCATCTTCACAGCTATATCCTGGCCCCATAGTGACCACCTGATGTACCCTTGGTCAGCTCGATTCCCAGGATGTGTATTCCCTTTATTAAGAGCATAAACCATCCTTAAACGTCAGTGCCAGCGCCTCCCTCGCTCCCTTGTATTCCTATGTCCAGTATCTACGACTATCGTACCTCCGTACTGCCCTGTTCATTTGATACACCCCTCCCCACACTTGGAAACGATGTGGTCAACCATGATGGGTTTATAATATAGCGCAAATTTACCGTTACACGAGATCTAAAGGTTTACACACAGCGATTAGAGCTCCTATCTCTATGGAGGCACGTAAGTTTTTTTAAATTTTTTTTATTATATTTTTGTTTACATTAAAATAATCTACAGATTCATTTGATGAAGACCATGGGACCATCTTATAATGAAGTATTTAAATGCATATAATAAAATTACAAAAGATGAGCAGCTCTCGGACCCAATGACACCGTTTCTGTTACTACACGGACCGCTGTCTGGTCCCTCTTAGCATGCGAGCACGCAGTGCCCGTGATTTTGGTACGCAGAAAAAAAAAAATAGGTTTGTGCAGAAAAAAAATATTACGGTTTTTACTACGGTATTCTTTTTATTTCTATTTTATTTTATAAATAAGTAGGTAATGTCACCAATAGCAAGAGATGCTGCCAGCCTAATGGAGAGTGTTATACTCACCAGTCGCCAACATTCCAGCAAGCCACACTAAAATTAAAAGTTTGAGGCCCGTCAGAAGTATCAAAAATGAACTTCTTTCTTCATTCAATTTGTGTTTGTTTTGTTTTGGTTTTTTTTTCTTTTTCTTTTTTTTTGGGGGGGGGGGCGGGGGGGGGGTGTTTTGTGGAGATGTATTTTTTTCGTGAAGGTGCATTTTGGTCTGATTTAAAAGAAATTCTATTCAAATCAGTGATCTCGAATCTTAACTAAAAATTTAAAATTTTAAAGATTTGTATAGACACAACCATAACAAGGGGCACCTGTATTAGATATGTATAGACAGCCATGACCAGGGGCACCTATATTTCTACTAGCGTTTTTTATTTTGCTCTCCAATGAAGTACAGAATGTTGCAAAATTAAATTAAGATATGCCCCAAAACCCAGACACCTCCAACCACTTTCGTTCGCGCCCTAGATTTCTTCCGCCCACCCCACGCGGATGATCAAAGTGACTGACGCCCTAGTGTCTTTAGTGCATGTATTTTAAAGAGCAATTTCTCAATTAAAGTCAATCTATACAATTTATTTTTTATGTGGCGGTACATGTAGAGGTGTTAGTCTACAGTTTGAGAATTGAGAATAATTGTTATGTGTGCAACGTTTATTTGTTTGTTTTTTTGTTTTTTGTTTTTTTGTTGTTTTTTTTTTTTGCTGTTGTTGTTTTGTGTTTTTTTTTTAATTTCATCGACTTAACGACAAACGGCCCGTGAAGCGTTGACTTGCGATCAAATCGACCGTGAGGCCATATGGTTGACCGCCCTGTTGTATCTATACACAGTGGTGTGACCTGAGCCAGATTTAATCATTATTTTCGTCTTTTTATTTTACCTTAGTATATGTGATCGATTTTTTTTTTCTTAACCGTGCCAAAGCGAGAAGAATCTATTTTAAACTATTTAATATTTCCATTTTTTGTTTTGTTACGGGTGTTAAACTTCATTTATCGTTAATTTTTATTGAGTTTCTTGTTTCGTTTTGCGCAGACCGGCAACTTTGAAAGCAAAGGGCCACGAAATCGAAAAAATGGCAGCGGGGCCTCCAAAAGTCACGCAATGCCTCTGTATTGTCAATCAGTGATCAGTATGGAAAGGTTACTCCACGTCCCGTTTAGCTAAAATACTTTACAGCCCTTTGATCAGATAATGTTGAATTAGAATAGGGTTTGTCATTTCTAGGACCGGAAAACGTCACATCGCTTTATATAATGTTACTATTTTTAGACAATGTTTCATGAAACAGAGCTTCTAACAATTTATTNTTTTTTTTTTTTTTTCTTTTTTTTTTTTTTTTGTTGTTGTTTTTTTTTTGTAAATACATTTCGTAAAATAAAGTTGTAAACACGTTTCCGTCTAGGTTAAGAAAGTTAAGACCCACTACGCTGGCTCGCGTTAACGTAGACGTACCGAACTGCTGCCGAGAGATCGGCCGACGGAACAGTATCAGTAGGATGTTTTATGAATAATCTTTCCGACATTTAGTGAGATTGGCCAGACGGTATACCCGGCTGTTCTATTAATAGATCTCCGTCATTAAATGACAAACATACCTTATGTTAGGCCGAAAAAGTGCATGCATGCAGAACACCTCTATTTTTTTTATATTTTTTTACCGAGTGTTTGTCTCTTTAGAAATGCCCAGGCCTACTTTCGACGGGTTCGCACCACGTCGGCTAGTGCACATAAGTTGTTTTATTTCCATTAAAAGATTTTTACAACTTGTCATTACAATCGAAAGTTGAATTCAGATTTTGGGCTCCTGCTTGGATTCCGGTTGTAATTTATATGTTTTACGTTTTCAGTATTTATATTTGACTAATTAACTTGGCACTGACAGTGGGGACGATATACCGTTCTGCACTTCTGCATCATTATAATAAATTGCCTCCGAGCCACATGGTCTAAGCTAGAGCAAATGATAGTGTTGTTGTTGATGACGTGTATTCTTGGCGGAGTTACCCATCTACCGCTGGACATCTGGTGTGGTCAATGG